CCAGAATATAAAGAATACTTATAACTCAATGATAGAACCATAAACAACCAGATTTAAGAAAAACAGGCAGAGAATATGAACAAACACTTCACTGAAGATACATGGACGACAAACAAACCGTTTGTGAGAAGATGCTCCGTGCAACTAGTCACCAGGGAAACGTGAGCATCACTACTCCCACTAGAAGGGCTGAGATAGGAAGACGGACAAGCACACATGTTGGCGAGGATGGGCAGGACCGCAGCGCTCGGCCTCTCTGCACTCAACACACTTCCAGCCCATCTGACCAGTTTCTGTTCCTCTGGAGGAGGCTGGCCCCACCCCTCACCAGGCTCCAGTTCATATCATTTTTATAACTCAAAATATAAAGACAATTCAGCCCACATTGTAACTGAATTTCTAGGACTCCTGAAGTCTCTTGTGCCTTTCCTAAATCCCCCAAGAGTTGAGATCCACTTATAGAGACAAAAGAACGGCTGGGAAGGGGGAGGATTTGAGACTCCAGGACTCGCCTGGGCATCACACCCCCACCAGAAAGGCCCCCCAGAGCCTCCCTCCAGCCAGGTGCCGCTCCTCTGGGTCCAAGGCATGCTGCAGTGCACCAGGTCATCACTGACGCCCAGGGCACCAAGCAGCCACCTCCCACGCCAGCAGGGCTCTGAGGTCAGGGCTCGCGGTCAGGCTGTGACACGCTTATCTTTGCACTCTCGGCATCTGGTGCAGTTTCCAGCACGTGGGAGGATCTGCTGCAGTGTGAATAAGTCAATGCCTGGGAAGTGAGAAAGCCAGACAGGATTGAACATCCAGCAGGAAGGACCAACAAGACTTGGTAGCCAACAGGATATTAATTGCAGAAGAAAGGAAGCCTCAAATGACTCTCAGGTGTCCAGCTGGGGAGACCCAGGGAACTGTTCGGTAAACCATCAAGAAACTAGCTAGGCAGGAAACACAAAGGCAGTCATTGCCTTTCATATGATGTTTCAGGAGGTGGGGCGGAGGGCTGTGTTTTTGCAGAGGACATGAGTAAGGAACTCTGGTTTAGACTCACAGGTTTAGGTAGAAGCAGATGGAGAGGGGTAGGTTGTGGGAGAGGCAGGGCTGTGGGGCTCCCTAAGTGGCCAGACGGAAGACACGGGGTGCACTGTCCACCAGGGACTGCTGCCCTCCCAGTGGGAAATGCTGCACGCCACTGTCCACCCTTACCTGTCTGTCACCTGCACTGAAGCCCTGGGGGGCCTTCCTGCACCAGAGGGAGTACTGGGAAGAGACATCCCACCTCACGCCCTCCTCAACCAGGGCCCCTCCAGCCCACTGCTCTAGATACTGCAACAGCCCAGACATGCAGAGGCCCCAGGGTGCACAGTGGCCGTCCCGGGTGCGGCCAGGGGAGCTGGGGTTAGGATGGGTGAATTTCTCGGGCAGCCAGCACAGACCCCGGGACACCTGTTTGCAGAAATATACGCTGCACTCCTCAACTTTATGTTCTGGGCCAAAGGCAAATGAGGCTGTGCCAGCAGATCCCAAAATACACTCAGGACTTTTACAAGCCAAGCAACATCTCATAGAACTAAACACGCAACTGACTTATGAGAGTCCCCTGGACTCCAAACACCAACAAGGAAGGGGAGGGAGCTGTGAGCCTCTCTGGGACAACACAAGCCAGAGAGGGGTATAAAAACCCAAGAGCCCTGAACACCTCACTCCTCACACACTCACCCACTCACTCACCCCTCCCCAGCTCAACACCCAGCATGGCCGCATCCACCACGTCCATCTGCTCTAGCAACCTGAGCTATGGCAGCCGGGTCTGCCTGCCCGGTTCCTGTGATTCTTGCTCTGACTCCTGGCAGGTGGACGACTGCCCAGAGAGCTGCTGCGAGGACACCCAGCATGGCTGCGTCCACCATGTCCATCTGCTCTAGCAACCTGAGCTATGGCAGCTGGGTCTGCCTTCCCAGTTCCTGTGATTCTTGCTCTGACTCCTGGCAGGTGGACGACTGCCCAGAGAGCTGCTGCGAGCCCCCCTGCTGTGCCCCCAGCGGCTGCACCTCGGCCCCCTGCCTGACCTTCATCTACACCACAGTGAGCTGTGTGCCCAACTCCTGCCAGTCAGTCTGCACCAGCTCCTTCACTCCCTCGTGCTGCCAGCAGTCTAGCTGCGAGCCTTCCTGCTGCACCTCCTCCCCCTGCCAGCAGGACTGCTGTGTGCCCGTGTGCTGTAAAACCATCTGCTGCAAGCCTATCTGCTGCAAGCCCGTCTGCTCTGAGGCTTCCTCTTCATGCTGCCAGCAGTCTAGCTGCGAGCCCTCCTGCTGCACCTCCTCCCCATGCCAGCAGCCTGGCTCCGTGCCCATCTGCTCTGTGCCCGTCTGCTGCAAGTCTGTGTGCTGCATGCCTGTCTGCTCTGAGGCTTCCTCTTCATGCTGCCAGCAGTCTAGCTGTGAGCTCTCCTGCTGCACGTCCTCCCCCTGCCAGCAGGACCGCTCCGTGCCTCTTTGCTCTGTGCCCGTCTGCTGCAAGCCTGAGTGCCGTGTGCCCATCTGCTCTGGGGCCACCCCCTGCCCATCCCCCTCGTGCTGCCAGCCCAGCCCCTGCCCCTCCTCCTGCTGCAGACCCTCCTCCTGTGTGTCCCTCCTCTGCCGCCCTGTGTGCAGGACCGCCTGCTGCGTGCCCTTCCCTTCCTGCTGTGCCCTCACCTCGTCCTGCCAGCCCAGCTGCTGCCACCCGGCCTCCTGTGTGTCTTTGATTTGCCGCCCCGTGCGCTCCCGCCTGGCCTGCTGCTGCCTCTAGTCAGGCCAGGAGTCCTGCTGCTGAGTGGTCTTCTTAAGATCACCCCAAAGCTTGAGAGCTTATTGCCATCTGCACCCCTGGATTCTTTACTAATAGCCATGACAGCTGTTCAAGTCCCCTCCTTGTAGGCCTCTGCAGTGGGCATCGGTGGTCACCTGGCCACCCACAGTTCATTTCTCCTCTTGGGAGCAGGTCACTTATTTCTGCAAGTACTGACTCCCCCAATCACTGAGCCCTGCCTCCCTGGCCCCGGGAGGGCAGTGATCCCAGCTAAGCCAGCCGGCCTCTCCCAGGCCACTGACCTTGTGTGGAGTGAAACAGGAAGAAAATATATTTGGAGTTGGTGTCTCATCGCTGCCGCCTGCTCAGGCCTGTGCAGTGGTTTCTGCCACCTGGACCTGGAGTGCCCTGGCTGCTTTGCTGTTCTGAGCTTCCTTCTCCATCTTCCCTGTGATGCTGTGAGCACAACTGACACTTCCAATAAATTCCTTTCCTGATAAATATAACCAGAGTTCATTTCTGTTGCCCATAAACCACAGAACCCTGTCTTATACTCCCCACATGTGGTGGTCCTGGGCTGCCCCCTACAAAGGTGTCCAGGAGGCCCCTTACCGCCCTGGCCACACGTGTGTTCAAGGGGTAGACATACGTTCAAGGACACAAGGGTGAGTATTCCAGTGACCCCAAGGAGAGACTGCCTTTCAGGGGTGACTCCACTAAAACCAGATTGTCTCCAGGACCCCATTCCGAAGGATGAAGCCCACAGGCCCAGGGCAGGGCATCCACATGGCAGGCCGCTGGCAAGGTGGCCCTTGGCTGGTGTCGGGGAACCTGGATTTTGGGAGGATTCCCACCACCTTTCTTCACAGGCCCGAGCTGTACACACAGTGTGGTTCATGCTGAACTCCTGCTCCACTCTGGAGTCTAGAATTTTGGCACATCCAGGCAGAGGTGCCCACGTGACCAGCCCCAGTGACAGCCCTGGGCACCAAGTCCCACAAGCTCCCTGGTGGATGACATCTCATGCGTGTTATCACAGCTCCTTGCTGGGGAATAGGCGTGCCTGTGTGATGCCACCAGGACAGGACTCTGCGAGACAACTTCCAGACGCTTCCTCCAACTTCACCACCCGCACCCTTCCCTTCTCTGGTTCTGCTGTGTTCGTTCCTTGCAGTGATCATGGCTGTGAGTTCCACCATGTGCCGAGTCCTGCGAGTCCTCCTGGTGGGTCACTGACCCAGGGTGGTCCTGGGGAGCCTGACACAGGCCCCAGATGCCCTTCTCAGGCAAGGACAGAACTGTCCTAGAAGAGAGGCAGAAAAGGAAGCCAGGCCAGCCTGGGCACTCTGGGTCTCACGATGAACAAAGTGTCCTGCTCTTGAGACAAGCTGCCTCTGCCAAGCTGGGCTGGGCTGGAACACAGGACAGCAGGGAATAGGCCCCCCACACCAGTCCCCAGTTCCCCACTCCCACCATGCAGAGGAGTGAGCCAGGCTTCTCTCTGGTACCAGGTCTGCACCTCCAGTGTCAGCCAGGGCCCTCCAGCGAGGAACGGGGCAGCGTGGGTGAGCCCGGGACTGCCAGACACCCGAACCCCACAGTCAGCAAGACGACGGGCCTCGCTCAGTGCACCACTCCTGCATCTGACCCGCCCGCGCCAACACCCCCGTCTCTGGGGGTTGCCGGTGTTCACACCCGGCATGAATGTTGGGGGCGTCATCCTCCTCTCCAGGCGCGACCCTGGAGCCTCAGAATCGCACGCAGGTGTTTCCAGCAGAGGATGCGCACCTACAGGTGGGCAGGCCTGGCACGGCGCCCCGTCACCAGATGTTCTCTGTCTGCCACCAAGCAACAATGACGCCGCCACCTGTGGTGGGAAGAAGAATTCGCAGACCAAATGCGAAAGTCATGAATCACAACAGAAAACGCTGGCAAATCATAAGAGAAAATACTCTCTGGAAAGGCACAAAGATCTCACTTTGTCACATCACAGACCATTTTCCCGAGCCAGGTTCAATAAAAGAAACTTATACCAATAAAAGGAAAGTTTCCTTTGGGAAATGTAAGGTTCTCTCTCAAGTTGATGAGAAAATGAAAAACTGAGATGAACTCTTAGGAAATAAAGAAAGTACCACACCTCAGAACCTGTGGGAGTCGGGTAGAGCAGGATTCAGAGCAAAAAAAAATTTTTTTTTTTTTTCCTTTTTGTCTTTTTTTGTGTCCGGCAACGGATCGCAACCCTCAGTGTCGCGCCCGTACCGGACTGGGACTGGCAACGGGATTGCAACCCTCGGTGTTGCTCCCGCGCCTCGCTCAGCCAGTGAGCGGGAACTGGTCTGTATGTGGGATCCGAACCCTCGGCGGGAGCGCCACCGGGCTGGCCCTGAGAGCAAAAATTTTTTAAAAATTAAATCCTTTAAGACATATAGTACAAAATAAGCAAGATTGAAAATAAATAAGATTTCAATTCAGAAAGTTAAAACAACTTCAAAAAAGAAGTAAAAGAAATAAATTAATTTTAAAATTAATGAATTAAAAAGAAAGAAAGAATAAATATAGTCAATAACACTAAACATTTGTTTTTAAAAGACCTATAAAAGAATAAAAATACTGGCAAATCTAAAAGGGATAACAAATAAACATTAAATATGTTAAAATAAATAATAAAAGTGTTTAATAAAATATTTCAACAATATTAAAACAGGCACGTCCTGCCATTAGTTCATTGTCAACATCTCTAATCATCAGTGAAATGCAAATTAAAACAACAATGAGAAATCACCTCATGGAGATGGAGAAAACTTTAAATTATGAGAAAAAAATACACCTTTAAGCAGGCACAAAATTTTAGGTGAAGAGGATAAGTTTCTAGGAAAGTAAAATCACTGAAATTGACACAAGAAAAAGCAGAAAACTTGAACAGGCCAGTGATCACAGAAGAACTTGAAAAGATGGGGGACGCCTCTGTGGCCGTCAGTACCAGACGCAGATATTGGTACAAGGACAGATGGACAGACCAACGGAGCCAAGAGAAGTACAGCAATAAATTCACTCCTGCACTGCACCGATGTACAGTTCGGTAACAGTGGCAGCCAAGGATTTATTGTCAGTTGATTTTTGACAAAGGTGCCAAGAACACACAGTGGGGAAAAGACAGTGTCTTCAATAAATGGCGCTGGGAAAACTGGATATCCACATGCAGAAGAATGAAATTAGACCCTTATCTCACACTGTATTAAAAAATCAACTCAAAATGGATTAAAGATTAAAATATAAGACCTGAAAATGTAAAACTACTGGTGGAAAACAGGGGAAATGCCTGATGACACTGGTCTGGGCGATGAGTTCTTGGACAGGACCCCAAAAGCACAGACAACAAAGGCAGAGACAGGCACGTGAGAGCACACCGGACTAAAAAGCTTCTGCACAGCAAAGGAAACAATTAACAGAGTGAAGAGACAGCCCATGGATCGGGAGAAAATATCTGCAAACCATACATCTGATAAGGGGCTAATATTCAAAACATGTAAGAAACCCAAACAATTCAGTGGCATGAAAACAAATAACCCAACTAAAAAATAGACAAATGACCTGAACAGACATCAAAAGAAGACATATGAATGGCCAACAGATATATGAAAAAATTCTCCACATCTCTCATCATCAGTGGAATGCAAATCAAAACCACAATGAGATATCTCCTCACACATGTTACGATGACTATTATCAAAAAAGACGATTGAGAACAAGTATTGGGGAGGACGTGGAGAAAGGGTATACTGTTGTGGGCATGTAAGTGGTACGGCCATTTGGGGAAATAGTACGGAGCTTCCTCAAAAAACTAAGAATAGAACTACCACCTGATCCAGCAGTCCCACTTTTGGGTATATATGCAAAGGAATTGAAATCATTCTATTGAAGAGATGTCTGCACTCCCATGTTCATTTCAGCAGGATTCACAATACTCAAGATATGGAAGCAACCTAAGTGCCCATCAATGGATGAATAAGTAAAGAAAATGTGCTGTATACACACAATGGAATACTATATAGCCTCAAAAATGAGGGAAATTCTGTCATTTAGGATACCATGAGTGGACCCGGAGGACATTATGCTAAGTGAAGTAAGCCAGGCACCGAAAGATAAATACTATGATCTCACTTATTTGCAGAATCTAAAAAAGTCAATCTCATAGAAACAGACAGGAGAAAGGTGGTTACCAGAGGCTGGGGTTGGGGGGAGGGATTGGGAAAAGATGTTGGTCAAATGGTGCAGATTTTCAGTTAGACAGGAGGAATACGTTCTAGTGATCTATTGCGCTGCATGGTGACCACAGTTAATGATATTGTATGGTATATTTCAAAATTGCTAAAAGAATAGATTTTTAATGTTCTTACCAACAAAAAAATATAAGTTGGTGAGGTGATGGATATGTTAATTAGCTTGATTTAATCTTTCTACCATGTGTATGCAAAATCACATTGTACTTCATAAATATACATAATTATTGTTTGTATTTAAAAGTAAATAATAAGTAAAAACCCAACAGATAAAATTTTAAAAATAATAAAGATCTAAAAGAATACATAGGAAAATGTCTTCGTGATATTGTAGTAGCCAAAGACTTTGGACACAGGATGTAAAAAATACTGAACATAAAAAAGAAGATTGATAAATTGGATTTTATTAAAATCGAGAACTTCTGTTCATCAGAAGATGCCACTAATTTCACAACACATCTATCTGAATGACTCGAATTAAACGGACTGGCAATACCAAGCGTTAGGAAGTGTGTGGAGGAGTGGTGTGAAATGGTACAATCACTCACATCCCATCATACGACCCAAACATTTCACTCCTGGGTGCTTACACAAGTGAAAGCATATGTGCACACAGAGACTCGCTCACGGATGTCCAGAGAAGCTTTTTTCATGCTAGCCGTATGTCCACCAACACTTGAATGGACTGCCAGATTGTGTTATGTCCACACAAGGGAATGC